GACGAGGTGGAATCTACAGCCTCCTCTTTAGATGACAGAGATAGAGAGTTTCTATCTGAGGAGGAAGAGGAAGAATTAAAGCCTCCGGAGCAGTCCAGCCATTTTTTCAGAGTGGAGGACTATCAATATTTTCTGACTAAAGCCATTAAGGCACTTGAGATTCATGATTTACTGCCCTCAGAGTACCAAAAAACGGCCAAGGCCAAATTTAAGTATAAATTCGGGGGAAATTCTGAGTTCTTCCTCCAGAGGAATATATGGAAAAGGAGTTTCCATTCCCAGAGTACTTTGAACGTCAACTCAGAGTGGAGTGGGATAAACCCATGGCTAGCAAGCAGTTTCCTGCAATTGCTAAAAAAACTATATGCACTGCCTATGCTAATGCGTTGTTGCAGGTGTCTCCCATCGATGGCCTGGTAGCAGCAATTCAATCATCGGGATTACTGTTGGAGAATGGCCAGGGAGGGTACCATCAAGGACCCCACTGACAAGAAGACAAAGGCAACACTCAGAAGGATTCATAAAGCTAATGCCATGATGGTGAAAGCAGCGTCTTCAGCCTCCATCGCAGCTAGAGTTGCCATAGTGTGGGAACGCAAGTTGATCCAACTACTACCAGAGAACAGCCACAGTCTGGTAGAGGGAGCCTCTCGCATCCTCAAAGCAAAGTCCTTTGCGGATGCCACCTTAAACATTCTCTCATTTGCCTCATAGGCTATGGCAGCTACAGCCATGGCAAGAAGACTCCTTTGGCTGTGGGCTTGGCAAGTGGACACCTTATCCAAATCCATCGTGACGGCTTATCCATTCCAAGGGATTTGCCTCTTTGGGGAGGCATTGGACAGGATCTTGGTGGAAACCCAGGACAAGAAAAAGGCCATGTCCAGGTCTACCAGATGTTCCGAAAGATGGTGCAACCAGCCTTTTCATACCCAACATTCCTAGCCAAGATTCTGCCAAGATACCAAGAGAGCGCAATGGGAAACGCCAAAGCCATCCGGGAAGCGTAGTTCCCTTGCACCCAGATTCCATAAACCCGCATTCAATAAGAATGACAGAGAAGACTGTGACGCCAAACCCAAACAAGCATGACTACTCATCCCTTCCAGTGGGGGCACATCTTCTACATTTTGCAACTACTTGGACAGAATCACAGGCAGACATCTGGGCAGTGGAGACCGTGTCTCAAGGGTATACAATAGAGTTTCTACGTCATCCACCGGAGAGATTTCTGAAATCACCTGTAAGCAAATCCAGGGACAAGATGGTCGTTGTCAAGAAAGCCATACAGCATCTGTTAGACATCAAAGCAATAGAACCAGTTCCCATTGGCAAGAGGGGCTGGGGTGTATATTCCATATTGTTCATGGTACCCAAGAAGAACAGAGATTGGAGAGTGATCTTGGATCTCAAGTTTCTAAACAGATTCATCAGGCTGTGACATTTTCGTATGGATATTCTGAGAGCCATAGCAGATTCACCAGACGGGCTCCGGACTTCCATTGACCTCATGGAAGTATACCTCCATGTGCCAATTCATCCAGACCACAAACGTTTCGTCCAGTTTTGCGTGTACAATAAGCACTTCCAGTACAGAGTGCTCCCTTTTGGTTTTTCCACGGCACCCAGGCTCTTTTCCAAGTTGATCATCAACCCTGTGGTGTATCTCAGGAGCCAAGGGATACATGTACATCCATATCTAGACCTGTTGGTTTGGGCCAGCAACTATGTGGAGTACGTCAAGAACACCGAAAAAGCAATACAATGTCTTCAGAACCATGGGTTCCTGGTCAACTTCGAAAACAGTTCTCTTCAATCAACACAATGGATTTGGGAGAAGTGATCGACACTACTCACAATGCCCTCTTCCTACCATTGTCAAAGGCCAAGAAACTCAGGGCTTCCCTGGTATACCGCGGCAGGTCCTCTTCCCTCATAGAGCTGGCCAGGCTGTTGGGACAATGATAGCCAGCATAGACATGATCCAATGGGCACATCTACACGCCAGACCTTTACAAGCCTGTCTTTGTTCTTACCATCATGAAAAAGAGGAGCCTCAACCTTTGGGTTCCTTACAAGGTCAAGAGGCGTCTACGCTGGTGGACGAACATAGACAGCCTGCTAGTGGGCAAAGACTACTATGCAGGTCACACTAGGGAACTCTTCACAGATGCAAGCCTACATGGTTGGGGGGCAATACTGGAGGACTCTCCAGTCCAGGGGACATGGCTTCTGACGGAGATGATGCTACCCATCAACCTGTTGGAACTCAGAGCAATCCTTCAGGCCTTGGTTCACTTCGCCTCCCATCTGTGCAACCAACACGTCTTGGTGAGGATGGACAATATCGCGGCCAAAGCGTACATCAACAAACAGGGCAGATCACAATCTCCACAGTTGCACAGAGAATGTTGCTTCCATAAGGGCAGAACACATAAACAGGGTTGAGAACATTCAGAC